ATAACATTTTAGTGCGATTTAAAGCAGCCACAGAAAGAAAAGATAATCTAGCATCACACACCTTAAAACTGCTCTAGATGCTCATTTCTATTTGAACTTTAAAGACAAACAAGTTGGTTTTATCCAGAAGAGGATTAGGGCAGCTGAAAAAAAAGGTTTACTGCTTTTTAAATATTATTTCAGTTTAATAAGGGGAGAAGTCAGAATTCTGACCGTAATCTCAGAATTACAACTTTTTTTCTCAGAATTCTGACTTTAATCCCAGAATTCTGACTTTAATCCCAGAATTCTGACTTTAATCTCAGATTTTATTTTCCAAATATTAAACGTAAATAAAATTCACAAATCAGTTAATTTTATTCTTAAGTTTATTTTTTAACTGGTCCTAATCCTCTTCCATAGTTTTTATCCTGAATGTTTTCTGAATATTTCTGGTTTCAGTTCATTCTCCAGTTTCTCATCAATCTGTTATGATAATTTGATTAATCTGGTTAATCTAATGAGTTATTCCTGATAATCCTCCCCAGGTGCATCTGATCAGGAGGAACTCTCTCAGCTTCTCCCTCCCTCCATCTCGTTCCCGTCCACCATCGGAGCGGGTTTGGCGGCGGCGGCGGTGACTCACACTGGACCGTTCTGGCCTGGTTGGTGCTGAGCATGACGTAGATCATCAGGATGAGCTGAGGGGCGCTCTCGCAGAACGTCTCGATCAGACGCAGCATGCTCAGGTCGTGCGTGAGGTAGACGGCGTACTCGGAGCCCTCCTCCTTCCTCCACCACACCCTGAAGCCCTGGCGAATTGCGGAGAAGTGTCTGCATGGACGAGACAGCGGCGCTTCGTTAATCAGGCGTTCAGAGTTTCATCCTTCATTAGCTGATTATTTCTGCACCTCCACCTGTGAGCCGGTTTGCTGCTTCACACACCTGAGAGGAAGAATGCTCCAGCATTCTGTCACAGCATTTATGTTTTAGCCTTTTTTCTGATCCTGCTTTTCCTTCAGATTTGTGTAAACAGAAGGAATCAGATCCCTGAAATTTATCAAAGCGTTGGAGCCTCACAAAGATAGAAAAACTGTTTTCTGGGCGGCGTTGCTCCTGAAAAGCAGGTTCTGGAGAAATAAAAGGTGAAATAAAGCATGAGGAGCACCTGTGCTGCTAAAAACATTCCAGTGAAGCATGTGTCAGATGTTATTTAATCCATCTAACGCCTTTAAACATTTAACTCTGTGTTGGTTGATCAAACCTGGAAAGGTTAGCAGTCTGATAGAAGCCATAATAATAAACCCTCCATCCCCACTGTGAGGCACGGTGGGGGAAGCATCACGTTAGCTTACGTTTTACCTCTACTAAAAGGAGGGGAGCCAACAGACCTGGATAATTATAGACCAATATCAAACCTGTCAGTACTTGCTAAAATTCTTGAATCTCAAGTCAACTCCCAACTAAAACAGTTCCTTACAGTCAACAACCTCCTGTGTGAAACTCAGTCAGGTTCAGAGCAGGTCTCAGCACCATAACAGCTGCTGTGTCTGTTTTAAATGATATAATAAATGCCTTAGACAAAACACATCATTGTGCCGCCCTTTTCCTGGATTTGTCTAAGGGATTTGATTCTGTCAACCAGCTACTACTTTTAGCCAGACTCTGCAAGCTTGGAATAAGTGACTCTGCCATAGTGACTCTGCCATAGAGTGCTTTAAAAACTATCTCTCAGACAGAACACAATGTTTCTACGTGGACGGACTTAAATCTGACTTTTTGGAAGTGACTAAGGGAGTCCCTCAAGGTTTAATTTTGGCACCTGTCCTGTTCACTATTTTTATAAATGACATTGGAAATAACTTGAAATCTGTTAAATTTCACCTCTATGCTGATGACACCATAATATATTCAATTGCCTCTTCAGTTAGCAATGCCTTGAATGATCTTCAGTCTGCTTTCCATCAACTTCAGGTCTCCCTAAATCAGCTGAAGTTGGTCCTAAATGTAAAAAAGACAAAATTCATGACATTCTCTAAAGCTCGCTCCCAAAACTCACATCATCACGGCATTAAGACCTTAATCGGAGAAGCAATTGAGATTATGTC